ACTTCATAGTCTCACCGTCTCTTTGTTGTAGCATGTTAAAATTAAAATCGCTCATAAGAATTAAATATTCATAGTGGGAAAACCTAGAGGCTGAGTCAGTGATATCCACATTCAACCACTGTGATTCAAGCCTGTACGCAGTACCTATCACTAAGGTGTAGCTATTACTTTTAGTAGTCAGCCACATCTGCTCTATAGAATCATTGGGATTTTTAAGGTAACTAACGCGAACATCATCCTTTACATAAAACCCTACTCCCCCACCACGTTCATCTCGCATATGCTGCGGACGCGGTGCACGACGTAGTCGGTAGCCCGGGGGCGCAGGCGCACACGCCTCCTGCCCAGTTCCCAGCCATGTCTCATTAATAGCAACTATATCGGCATCGAAACGATCCATTGCAACAAGAAAATTATCTTGCCCTGTATTAAGGGAGCCAGTTTATTTTTAGGAGCCATTGATTACATTTTAAATGGGTAAGCAATGACATGATTTAAGTTACTCATATGTGAGTAAAATGTATACAAGTAACGTTTGTATAGACTGTACAATATGTTAACATTAGTAAAGGTTAAATGAGTAACAATATGTTTCGTAAATATATTGCAGATAAAAATTAAAAATGTTATATTATTCAGTGTTAATAAAATGTATGTAAATAAATAAATGCAGATTGATAAATAAGTTACTACCAAGAAAATACGATTCACAATGAGCAGCATTGCACTGATACAGCACACCCCACTACACAAAAATACTCGTAACGAAGACAATTCATATAAGAAAATCGTACGTTGATTACATAAAAAGCAAAACAAAAGCAAATAAGTAAAAATGAAATAAAAAAATGAAATGAAATTTTGAATGATTTTACATGTATGCAAAATGAGCATTATTAGTGTTACAATCCTATACAAATTAATTATTATGGTCTGTGAGAATAATTAATGTAAAAAAATATATAGATTTTTTTATTGTCACTAATCGTTTCAATTCCAAAAACACGGCAAATATCAGCCTCGGTTCGGAGGCGACGCCGTGGCGCGTCACTGCCCTGATGCTGACATGCAAATACCCGACCGTCGCGTGACCATACGTAGCGCCAGTTGAGGCGCCCAGCCGCCTCGCGAGCCAGATGGAATACCCCGCACCAATAGGGGGTGCGGGTCAGTCGCTCGTTGATGTAGAATCGGCGCGGCGGGCCGGACAGCCCTATACCCTCTGTGATAGCACCTCGGCGAACACGAGCTGCTTGCAACATGTGATCCCGTACTGTGCGACGCGCTAGCCGTACCACAATCAGCTTCAGACGTGCAGTAGACGTCGCCAGCACATCTGCCTCTTCCGGAGGACGTTCCACTCGCATGGCACTCACGATCTCCTGCTCACCCAGATTGACGTCTAATTTATTTGCAAGGGTAATGAGCATATATTGCAAGCTTTCAACCTTTTGTTCGGGAACGCACGAGACCTCGATGTCATTCTGCAGCAGCTCCTGATCACGCTCATTTAGTTCCGCTTTAAGCTGTTCAACGATGGTAAGTAGTGAGGCGTCAGCGCCTGCCGGTTTGCTTTCAGCACGTTGCTTCAGGGCTGTAATGCGGTCATCGAGTTTGCCCACCCGATTTTCACAGGCGTCCATCCTCGCTGCCAGTTTGCTCATTGCGTCGTTTAGAGTGGCCATAAGATATCTAGTTGCCGTCAGCTCCTCCCTAAACAGATGCATTTCCGCTACCAGAGCACTTGTAGCATGCGACGCATTTGTAGTCGCATCGTGGCCTGAGATGTTCATCGTAGCATCCAGTAAAGAGACATCCATCTGATCTGGTGGACTGTCAACAATTTCCGCTTTTCGACGAATCGTCAGTCCATCTTCGCTTTGATTGTCGCACCGGAGTATTAGTATTGCCGATTTTGGGTTGTTTACCAAAACAAATCGCACACTTCCAAACAGATCTATGTTCAGCAGTTAACGTATTAAAAAACCGCTGCTCGGACACACCGGCACACCATATGTCAAAGTTCTCACGACAGATACCGCAGCACAAATAAAGTCTATCTTTAATTGGTTGCCGGCATCCATAACAATTGCAGCTATCAGACATCATTCAATTATTTTAAGAAAAGAATGTGTAAATGTTTAAAATAAAAAAATTTAAAAAAAACTTGAAATATTATTTCTGTTCACTGAAATATGAACCCAGACACAGGGTAAAAAAATAAAAAAAGAGTTCTAAGCGGTCGGGAACCGAACCGTATATCACACACTCAGTTTTGCTCTGCATTCAAGAGCCGAGACCGTTGAGCCAGCGCGCCACAATACAACGTTGCGAAATTGTTAACCTAATGCGTACGGAGTGTAACTGATAGACGTCACACCGGGTTAATGAACTAACGACCGGTCAATGACACGAGTTCAAGTTCTCACCACACAGTTAATACTTCACAACACACGTAAATCTAAAGTTTTTGGCAAATCCACAGAATGTTCGACTATTTCAAATGTACCACTCAACAAATCGCAGTTTTAGTTAACTTTTGAAATACATTTGCAGCATAATAACTTAACATTTGCACAGCTAATTCACAATAATTCACGTGCGAAACGTAAACACGTCAGTTAGCGATACCGCGTCTCGCGCACCCCCTTATATCTAAAGTAGTTGATTGGTTTGCTGTTAATAATCTGCACCTTAATGAGAAAAAAGCAAATTGTGTGAAATTTACATTACCCAATATTAGAGAGACGGTTACAAACATTGTGGTTAGAAACCAAAAATTGATACACAGCAAATCCTGCACTTAAAAAGCACTAATGAAATTTTTGGTGTACTTGGATAAATATGATAATATTCCGTTTGAGTGGTTCTAATGTTTACCATGAAATTACTCCTTAAGGTATACTTTATAAACATTTATATTCAGGGTAAACTTAAAAAACGCTACTTACGGTATGTTTTCAATAAATAAACACCGAAATCACCAGCCCAAACAATAACACATTTAATAACACACGATTGTCGTGACGTATTTTTGAAGTAGTTTATTTTTTTAAATGACAGACCCAGGCATTAAAAACTTTATGGTTTGCTAGAGTAGTTACCGAAATAGCAATTAATATTAGTTCTTTTACCTGTTATAACTTCGATATCCGATAAATCGGTATAAAATCATCACCGGCACCTCTAGGTGTGGTATGCGTCTACGGCTGCATGTATCGCGTGAGCGGATATGTATATATATGTATATATATATATTATATTTTCAAATATCAGACATCGAGACTACCTCCATGAGCTAAACGGGTTAATACCACGGATTTTTGACATCCAAGTACGCAGAAGTTGTATAATAAACTTTAGTATAAAGTTTGTGTTTCACTATAGTTTCAAACCTCGTGAATGGCAAATTTTGTATGTCAACCAGAATCTTGTTATAGAAGCGTATACATTGCTCCTTAAATGAATTTGTCACTTTGTGAAGACGACTATCAAGAACAGCTAGTTTATTTTTTGTTCCTCGTATTAATATTATGTCTGTCACTATTTTTCATAAAGTGATTATTATTCCTCTTAACATAAATTACATTTCCATAGATGTACTGTCACGCTAGTGGGCGCAGATTGTAAATTGACCTAACGGCACTTTTGTGCAGGACAAAGATTCTATTGATAGCGGCGGCAATACCCCAAAGCAAAATGCCGATTTCAAGTGTAATAATGCTTACCTATGAAATAAAGAAGAAGTCAAGCGACAGGGACACAGGCTTTATTTTAGAAATAAAAAAAAAATTACAAACGAAATTAAAGCCATTTGAAATGTATATCGTATAGTATAAGGCCTTCTATTTAGTTCAGTTGATATAAAACAATCATTGGTTTAAGTATACCCTGTTTATCTATGTAATTTCGAAGTAAGTTTGTGTTTTTTTCTTTCGTGAAAATTTTTAGGAATCTTCTCAATCTTATTATATATTCTCCAAAGTGATTGATTCAACACTTTCATTGTTATACGGAAATAACGAAAGCCATTTGAGGTTGTATAGACTCTTAACTTATTCTGTATAATGAGCCCACACCCACATCCGCAAAATATCATAACTTTTCAGGAGAGTCGCTTAAAGTTTTGATAAACGAGATTGGCCGATAATTTTTATGCTTAAATACGAGTGTCATAAAATTTCACATATATAGTCTGTTCCAATCCATTTTGAACAAAAAGTAAACAAACCTGTTTGGTTAAAATTCTAAAGCAATCACTCAATAAATCGAATAAGTAACACTTTCACGTATATTTCGAAGATTTCGACTTGATATATCATCACTTTTTCCAACAATATTCATTTGGATAGCATCGTAAAATCGTATTTGAAAAATGGTAGTCCAAAAGTGAGGTTGAGGATGGGGTATTCATCTATACTTCTACGACTTGCCTATGGTTGCATAGTGCTGTTCGAAAAAAAACATTCGGTTCAATCAATCAAAGTTTAGTAATCGATTATTAAATCGAATATTTCAATCGCAATCGAACGAGTATCAAAGTGTAAGGATTTCAAGGAGGATTTAAATTGAAATTTTAAATATGCTCAAATATACTCAATTGAACAAATCGATTCATTCAATTAATTAATCGATTTGTAGTTGACGTTACAATTGGACATCACTAAACCGTCTATGGTCGGGTCAGTGACTTGTTTGTTTACTTTTTATTCAAAATGGATTGAAACGAAGTATACATCATTTGTTTCATGGAGTTCGTATTATTTTTATGACGTTCGAGTGGTAAAAGCACGTTTGACGTATGATCTGTGTGACTTGTATCATACCAAGGGACGATTCAATATACAGTAGGGTTAGCACGACAGGGTGCAACTTGCGTGAGAGCTACATAGCGCGCGAGATCTTTATACGACAATAGCAGTATGTCGCGCTTTATGTCGGTCTCGAGGAAGTCGCGTCCTGTCGTGCTAGCCCCGTAGATTTCGATAATTGATTTACAGACGCGTGTACAATGCAGCTATTAATATCAGCTATGGAAGTACAAACGACACAATCAGATGGGGCCTGCGAGCTGTCACCAGAATGCACTATGCAAATCATGAAGGGCTCAGGACTTGCTCATCAACAGACCAGTCGCCTCCGCGCAGCCATGTTGGCGAGGATCTTCGAATGCATGGACAATGTAGATATAAACGCACATATTTACAAGCTGTGCATACAGATCTATAAAGAAACGAAATCTTTGGAGAATTGGAATCATCCTGCTGGTACTAACACCTTGTTTATGCAGCAAAGTAAGTTAATAATTTTTAATACTTTGCTGAGTATTTAATTTTACATATACAGAATTATTTTTAAAATACTGACAACCCCTTAAATTAGTAACATCATAAACAATGACTTTTATTAATTCATTAGATTTTACTTTCATACAAAAACAAATACATTTAAATAGATGGCTCTAAACAGTAATAACCTAAAATAGCGGTATTGACGGTAGGAGTCGCGGAGGACTATTTGAACTTACTTCCAAACACAGATCTAAGAGTGGTTACACACAGGCGCAACTTTAGCAGCGATGCTAATGCGATCAATCGCGCGTTTGTATCGATGCAATAGCGCGTTTGTATCGATGCAGTCGCGCGTTTGAATTCGCCTATAAATCGCAAGTGTATTAACAGTCGAAGTATGTAATCACTCTAAATAGTGCCAGATAGTACAACAAAAACTTAATTTTATTTTTGGTAAATTTATTATGTTTTGTGCAAAGTCGAGGAACAAAAGTTGTTGTATACGATGTTAGGAATATAGCCCTGTGAGATTGTTAGTATTTTAAAAATAACCCGTATATAGTCGTCTTAGAGTGAATACCTCTTATGTGGTTTTTATGTAATTTTTCAGGACGAAGATAAAAATATGGTGTAAAATGTAGTAGACGCAGTAATGTTTGTAGTTAGCATTTTAATTACTTAAATTATACCTCTTTCAAATACTATATTACTTTAGTAATATACTATCATATTACTAAAGATATTAATATTCAACTGCCTCCGTGGCCTAATTAAGTGCGCATTTGACCTTTGACGTCCATCTCAGCTGATTGAAAGTGATGATGATGTCGGATGCACATCTTTTGTTAGTTAATTTTTACAATCACGGTTTTTCCAAATCATTGAAGTTGAATTGAATCATTCAATATGGCTCATGCCGAGTGGTACAAAATTCTTACTTTCAGGTGGATTACATCGTAATTACTCATTTAAGATAAACATCCAATTCTGAAAATCGATAGTTTAAAAGTTATGATGTTTTTGTGCATTTTTGATAATTTTCTATTCTAGTCACCAGATTCTACTTTAAGGACTATTTCACTAAATCAAGTGAATTAAGGATACATTCTTTAGCTCGATACTTGCAATGAACACTACGCCAACTTTACCTGTTATTTTGTTTTTTGTTTCTTTATTTTTTTTCACAAAATTCGTGTTTTGTTTTTTTTTAAAATTTTGTTTCTTTTTTTCACAAAATTCGGGGAGCATGTTGTTAGTGAATAAATATGGCCGTTTACAAAAATAACAGAAAATAACCACAAAATTAAGGTCATTGGAAGTATCAAGTTTGTTACTGAGAAAACAAAAGACACCTGTCGACCGACTGACGTTTCAAAATGTTGTAAAATATACAAATTTTTCAGTTAACTATTGTGCGTCTCAAGGCTATGGCGAGTTTATCAAGCCCCGTTGGATGAACAAGATCTTATCCTGGCAGGAGCCCAAAGGGTGCTATGCAGACGACAGGCAGCCTTTTCTCAAGTTAACCGGTTTCATTAGCTCAGCGTCGAATCCGAGCTCAGCTGACCGAGAGGTATTACGTTCAATACTAAGTTTTTTAGATTCAATTTTATTTATGAACATTTTTTTTTCATCTTTATGTACAAAGAAGGGAATTCATTTGATAAAAAAAATCAAATCAACATCAACCCATTTCTATGTCCCACTGCTGTGCACGAGTCTCCTCTCAAGTGAGGGTTTAGCCATAGTCCGTTACGCTGACTCAATGCGGGTTGGTGACTTCACACGCTTTCTGAGGGTTGTGATTGTGAGCATTCTTCAACGGGCAGGTTTCTTCATGGCGTTTTTCTTTATGAAAACCGCATATTCGAACCCGAGGCCTCTGCTTGAGAGGCGGAAAATAAAAAAAATCGCTGTTACAAAAAAAAAAATCAAAATTTTCATTCGATTCTTAACTTTCTCAAACTCGTATCTTGTAAAGAGTAATTAGTCAGCAGATGGCAAAACTTTCTATTTTTTACATTTCTTATCAAGGGTGTTAATTTGGTTGCATTACTTAAAAAATAGATAAAAGCCTACACAGGCTTTTATCTATTCACACACACACATATTCACACACGTGAACATGAAGGAAATATGATGTAAAATCAGCGTGCAAAATTTGTAATTGGTATATAATCCATTTTTTTGCGTTTCAGTAACTTTGTGCTCTAAGATACGAGTTTGTGAAAGTAAAGCGACGATATGTAATTATATCACGCGTCTTTGAGGCTAACTGAAGAGTTACACTTTTAATCAATCACTCAGATCACACTACATTCGTTCTTACCTTCAGAACGGTAACTTTTATGAGTTTTATAAAAAAAACAACTAATATGTACAAATAGCAAAAATAAAGCAGAACCCTTCAGATCTCGAGATTCGAAACTCTGAGTGGCGTTGCAATTGTTACGAGTAGGCGATATTCCTTTCCAACAGGCGCTCGACTTGTTTATCCTGTCATTTGATATCATAAAAAAATCATCACACACGACATTCGTGAGCTTGCGCACCGGTTTTTATGGAGTCGCCACCTTTGAGGTCCCGGGTTCGATCCCCGGCCGGATCAATGTATAACAAAACTAACTTTTCTATATTGTCTCAGGCCTGGGTGTTTGTGGTACCGTCGTTGTTTCCTATCTCCATAACAGCCGTGGGGCGACGGCTTAAGAATACATTGTCGCCTCCCCATACATGCCCGTGGGGGTCGTAAGAGGCGACCGAGGGCGTCACAAGTGTCCATCTGCTTAGCATTGTGGTAGGCTCTGTGCCGACTGGATAGCGACCACAGTACACACGGCGGAAAACCCTCCACAGTGAAACGCTTTTGCGAATCGCGTTCAGGGATCAGTTGGTGTACATCCAGTGCATTTGGCCAGACCGGCAAAATGATAGTGACGGAGTGAAGATATTTGTGTTTTCCATCCGTTACTCTCATCTCTGGACTGTATTCGCACTTTCCATCAGGCGCGGTGCAGTCATTTTGTCGAGACGCAACAAAAAAAAAAAACAAAAAAAAAAAAAAAAAAACACAAGTATTTTGGCTACTTATTTTGGGATCAGAGTAACGTATGTGATGAAAATAAACAAATATTAGGCATATTTGTTTATTTTATTACATGTTTGTAAGTTTTGGTGAAACAGGGAACAGGGAAAATTTCAAAATCGACTAACAAGTTTCTGTTCGTCGATTTTGAAACTTTCCCTGTTCGCCTTATCAAAATTTTTTACGCACTCTACACATTATGTCTATCTTTTTTTACATTTTCAAAGCAAAACTGAATACGGCATGTTTCTTAATGATAAGGAGCAATCCAGTATGTGAGATACGTGCTATATGTCGTTTATGTACATGTATGTATGTAAACACTCAAATGTACAACAAAAACTAAAGACATATGTTCAAAAACAATTTAAAATACTTGTGTACAAAAACGAGGCAAATCTTTATAACATTATGAAAATTGTATCTACGTTGCTAATTTATTATTCCCGATATTTTTACTTACTTCCGGTTTTTATTAACCATATCTTCATAGATTATCTAAATTACATTAGTAAAAGTCAGACACTATAATGAGTGAATGATAGAACATAACAATCTATGAGCACTAGAATAAACTATGTAGGTACTTACTTTTCAATGGTGGCTTACTTTAAAATGGTGCGCTGAAACGGCGCACGGCGACGCAACGGGTGCGGTACGGACAAGGAGCCAGAAGACGAAGTGGGGAGGAATGTTGTTGTGCAAGCGTAAGTAAGCGGTTGCGAAACCGCGTTCCTGGTGTGGCACTCCATGCGTTGCGAAGAAACAACGCACCAGCACTCTTACCTGGCGTCAAATTATGGAATTTCCTGTACTTTGAGTACCAAAGCACAGAAATTAACTCCTTGAGTAGTACCCAAAACTCCCAGACCAAAGCCAAAGACCAAATTTAGAAAAAAATCATTACTCAAATTGGTATCAACCGCTGAGCAGCCGAAGTCGTCAAATTTAGGTTGGTAGAATACTCCAAAGCATATTAAATACCTGCAGTTTTATAAATTAATTGTAACAGGAGGAGTATCGTGTGAAGAAAGTAGCAACGTCAGAGGGCGGTACGTGCAATTCCCTGACCTCTGCAATGGCGCTAGGCTCCTTGGTGATGTACGTGAGGGCTCTTCTGGAGACAGACCAGGCCTTTCAATATGACATACTTGATTAATATAGTTTGTATTGCACTTACACAGGAACTAATGTTAACATTGTATTGATTTGTGCTTGTGTGAATAAATGTTGAAACAATAACAAAAGTTTACGAATTTTTTTCTTTATCAACGTTTGCACATCTCACAGATTCATTGGACGTTTTGTGCTAAATAGAGATCCTTTTAGTTTTCAATTTAGGTAACATTGCACAGGATTGGACATCGATAGAGTATAGAATTTCATGAAACATGTATTTTCTAGTCTTCACATCATAATGGTCCAAGTAAAAGTGAGGCGGATCAACGAGAAGCGAGCGTTTGACATTATTTCAAGCTCAGTTTTCAAGCACATCGTGATATAGCTAAATGATTTTTGCAACGATCAACCGACTACGTATATTTATATAATAATAATAATATAATAATAATATATGTATTTATTTCAGACAACTATTTAGTCCATATGTGTTAGTAACAATTTTATTCTTAAAAATTATGTTAGTAGGCACTAAATCTAAACATTATTAAATTAAAATTAAAATAAAAACATGAACATTTGAAAGCAATTAAAAACGAGGCGAAAAAAGTTGCCGCATAAAGGGAGAGTCAATTCTCCTGGCAATGGTCTTCAGTATTGGGTTGGAGCTGGCTCGTAGTCTGCAGAGCAGTGAGGCCGACTTTTTGCGCATAATGGCATAAAAGTCATCAGTGCGAGCCTATGCAAACATGCCTGACGCACTGCAGAACCGCGGCAGCCCCAACAACATACGAAAACCATTGTTATATTGTACTCGCAGGGCGCTGATGGCTCTGTGCGTATAGTTGGTCCAAAGGCTGCACGTGTAAAAAACTTGGCAGTATGATTTAAAAAGTAGAATCTTTACTTGTTCACTGCTACGCGCAAACCTTCGCACCACCATATTACACCTGACCGCCAGCGCCCTGCGTTCCCTCTCAATATCCATTAGGTCCTTAAGGTCGTCGGAGACAAAATGGCCAAGGTACTTGTATTGATAGACCCGCTCGAGTTCTATATTGCTTATAAACGGTTATATGTTGTATAAATAATTTTTAGTTTTGTTTTGTTTCTACCATTGATAAGGTTTTGGCTTTTGTCTTTAAAAAAGCAGAAACAGATGAAAATTTATAAATTGTACGTACACTACTACTACTTTGATTAAATGAGACATTGATAAATATAAAAAAAACATCGTTTTCTTATGTTTTCGCGATTGTTACCTGTACGGTTTTTGCACCGTACAATACTTTCCTAACTTAACAACATATTGCACGTGTAAATGCTCATAAAAGACAGTTGACAACTCGCTTCACTAGCGATCGGCCACAGATAAGCATTCAAAACTACGCTGTACACTTTTTACTTAATACACATTGACTTACAATTATATGGACGTCGGGTCCGCGCCAAAAAGTGTCCGAACTTATAGGGCGTTAAAATCGTATACAGAGCGTCATTCACGCTCTAGTCTTCGTTTGTTCGACTGACAGCGAAGCAAGCAAAATTTGACAGTACTGCGATGACATTACAATTTAAATTCAACGTTTTAGCTTTTTCATATTCCTTGACATGTCACTACGTTTAAATAGGTTGGCTTGGGACATTTTTTTCGTGGTTTTTGTATTAGACCCGTCATCCATTTATTTGTAAGTCAATGTTAATACATCAACTTATTACGGAAACTGTGGTTTACGTCAACTCTATATCCTACTCTACTTAATAATACTCCAATCTTAGACGTTCAGAGAACCATACATTACCATTGTTACACATAGGATTTGAAACTGGATTTCCCGATCTCAATTTCGTTTATTAGTTTTTTAAACAAACGTTTAGTTTTTTTAAACAGTTCCCATGGTCACGTCTAACCGATGACTGCGCGACTTGGATTCGAAAAAATCCAATTACAGTTTACAAAATTAACACCACTAATGAAAGGTGTACAAACTACTCTACAAACCTTTTAATGGGTAATTAAAACAAGTGCATGAAAAAATGTGAACCACCTGATTTTTATTTCAAATTAGACCTAAATAAAAAAGCAAAATTTTGCAAATTTTTAAATTTTAAATGAATTGATATACAATTATTTTTATCTGAAATTACTCCACTAGTTTATTATAATTATTAATACAAAGATCGAACACTCAGAACAAATTCCTTCGATCCGGCCGGATTCCAACCGACGTCTCCTAGCATACCGTGTCAGAGGCTATACCAACTAAGCCACGGAACGAACCAGCGGAACTCACGAATTTTTCTATGTGCTTGTTGTCGTGTATTTGTTTTTTTTTATTAAATAAATTATTATTATTACTATTGTTATAAATATATTAGAACATGTTCACATTCGCAGAATGCTGTTGGCTTAGTTTTAAAATTATATGTAATTTAATAATTATGCCACCGAGCGGAGAGTTCGCGTTACGTATGGAGATTATAATTTTTATTACGAACCTCTTTGGAATCACGAAACCTTTTTTACTTGTAAATCGACGTCTTCAAATCAAAATTGTCAATCGGGCAGTTTAAAATTGCACCTAAAATTTGTTTATAAAGTGAAGAATAATAGTTGTACACATAAATTATGTCCCATCGTTATGTAGTAAATGTGTTTAGCACAATAGTGAGAACCATGTGCACACATGGATTGCAATACAAAACTCCAATACCGGTATTTGGTAAGTCGTCACTATAATTTCCTCTTTGACCAAGTTTTGTCATTACTTTGCGCTATACCTGTTGAAAAGCGCCTAGAGAGAAACACGAGCAAATACTACGAGCAAGTTTAGCTTTTCTGTTTGGTGTAATATTGAAGTGACTGCAAATGTAGTTACCGCCCAAGGAGCACACTTTATACGCATTAAAACTATAAACAGTCTTAATATGGTATTGGTTTAAATAATAGTTATAAATGGTTTTAGAAAAAAGAAATTGTTCTTATAGACTTATTTCACTCAAGTCAAAATTTTAACACCATCTTAATACCAAACAATTAATTAAGTGTAATCTCTTTTAAGATTTACTCTTATAGTCCTTATTTTAACTTCATCTGTAGAACAACTGATTATTTTTAGTTAAATTTTTCTATACACATCCAGTAAAGTCTATTAATACTCTAAAAACTAGTGTTCTTAAGTTTATTCTAGATATATTCAATTTATAGACATTTTGACTCATTCTGAATTTATAGACTTATTGTCATCACGTTATAGCGCGTCTTCAGTAGATTTTATTTTAAAAAATACTACTAATTAGGGTTTTTACACTATTGGACGTTGTAAGAGTTCATGCAAAATGGATAAAGTAAAGAATATTAAAACATCTGGTGGAGGTGGCGAACCTTGGATATTAAAGTCACATCATTCGATACAATCAGCGTTGTCAATGCCAATTGTTCAAAATACCCAAAAATCATCGAAGCGGAGCGAAGTTCATATTCCTCACAAATTCCCCACATCTCGAGTTTTCATTATTTATTAGAAATACATCGCCTAAGAATATAACAAAAAAATTAAGAAACTCAAAATGTAATAATCTATTACGTTTGCTGTGAATGTAAACAGAATGTAAAAAGTAAAACTAATTATAAAATCGTTTATTTATTTTAATAATAATAATAATAACGTACACACTCAACATAGCCCCGCACTAGGGAAACCTTGTGTCGCGGGTGCCATGGACATACACGTAGACAACCGCAAATTACACCCAAACTCACGAGAGAAATAAATGTAGGCCATACGAATATTTCTCCCGACCCGGAAATCGAACCTGAGACCTCTGCATGGCAGTCCGGCATGGTAACCGTTCGGCCACAGAGGTAGTTATATTAATTATAATTAGATTCAACATTAATCTGTAATCAGGCTGAATAAAAAATCATTTTTCTTTGCCTTACAAAATTAAGGAAATTGATTATTTGTTGTGCATTTGGTGACACTATGTTAATGTTAGAAATAATCAATGAGTTTCGACCTATATTTAATATTTAAAGTTGACGAGTGGTAAGTTGTGGTGTGAAAGTACCAACTGCTCGGCTATGTTTATCAATAGCTGATTTCGTTTTGCTTCTTACCGGGGATCGGCCTAAGCGGGAGAAGGAATCGCGAACTCAACACGCACCGACTGGTAATTTTACAATTCAGAACCAAGTGCTCTAATAATAATTCTATTTAAGCTGCTTCTTAATAATACGAGGGATGTGCGATGTTGAAAAACACGTCGACATAGTCCATCACAGTGTTTCTAACAGTAACGATCAAACTAGCGATGCATCAGCAATTGATAGATTAAACAAAATGATAAAATGATAGAATCCCCACATTTTCCTCACATAGCGCCAATCCCCACAAAATCCCCAATCTAGTTGAAACTCCCCACAATTTGGGGAATTCCCCACAAATTGGCAACGCTGGATACAATAGTCGTAATTCGCGCTCGGGCCGGTCATGGCCCGATGCTATGTTTGTTGACAAATAAGTGCTAAAAACAATTGAAATGAGCCATTGACGTATGAAATGAGAGCGAAAACTACCGTACTTCAATGTTGTGTATGTGTATTGTGCCGTCTGTCAATAGAAAACAGTGAAATCATTGTGTGAAAGGGGGTTGGCGTGAAGAAATAACCTCAATTTTGTAATGAAAATTTTATTTCTTCCAACATAAGTTAGGTATGTCATTAAAATATTCCTTATGTTTATATGATAGGGAATTTATCCACCTTTCTAGTCATATATAACACGTTCCATATAATTATACAGAATAACGTTTTTTTTGCGACAAATTGGATTTTTTTCAGTTGTTTTTTTGACCTAGTGTTTTGAAAAGTTTTTTATTGCATAATACGCTCACTATTATAATAACCTATAACTTTTATAAAGTTTTTGTAATACTGTCAAAAGAAAAAATCGCTTAGAAACATCGCGTTTTGTAGACAATCACAGAAGCTTCTTAAGAATGAATATTCTTCTACAAGATCAACTACATAAAGCAAGTAAAAATAATCTTTTCGTATTCTAAAGTTTTTCTATAGATAAAGCTATAGACAAAATGCTCTCAACAGTGTTTTGAAAAAGCTTTAAATTCTTATCGCCATTTTTATTTTTAAAGAATGACTATGAAGTAGCCGAGAAAAATTTCTTTTCTTTTTAAAAAGTAAATCTAAGTTGAAATTAGCTTGAAGAAGCCTAAAACTTCTTGGAAATGGTTTGTTTTGTGAGTTATTTTGTATATTTAAGCTTTCTATAAATATTTAAAACCGAAAATCGATAACTGTATTTTTATTAAATTTATATTGTATACATAAATATTTAAAATTTTGCGAGCGCATTACTTTTATGACAGGTTTTACATCACTTTTCACAATGTATTTAAAGTCGCACGTCAATTCGCGCTTTCTAACCGATTAAACATTGCGTGAAAAAGTCACAAATATTATATCTAATTTCGACATGTTGCAATTTTGATAGTTTATATTTTGTAAGCCATTAAACTTGAAATCTATTAGTATTAAGAGAATTGTGTCTTATGTTTGTAACGCTTTAGTATTTTGGTTTTAAAATAGTATTACTAAGAAAACTATCATAGACTACAATTAATCTAAAAACTGTCTACAAGACTAAATAAAAACTGTCTACATTCTACAAATGGTCTTGTAGCATTCTAGAAGGGTTACTTGAGAAAAAAGACAAGAATCACTCTTAACACTACCTATAGATAGTTTCTCAAAGCACTCTTGATCTACTAATAAAGTTGTGCCCACTTTTACTTTAAATTATCTAGAAACCTTCGAGATATCTTGAGGGAATTTGAACTCTTAAAATATTCAATCGAATTAAATTCTATTAGATATCTTATAGTATATATTTAGATGTGGGTGTGCTGCTTGGGCGTGTATCTTAATAATATTTATTATATTAGAAGAATTAGGTCAATGATTAGAAGTAATTTGTAGCAGCTTTAAGGACTATCCACACACAACAGAGCCGTGCCCGGGACGTGGCCGTGCTAGTTTGTATGAACTGCGCGCCCGTCCTGGCCCCGGCCCGGACACGGACATGTATGAACGAGTTCACACAAAATATATGCAACGATATTTTTTTGAGCCCCTGACGGAGGACGGCCCATCCACGTCCCGGATATGTGTGGATAGACCATTAATCGTTTTAATATATAGGGTGCTAATTTAATGTCTCCATAAATCAGTATTTTTCTTATTGTTATTGCATTGGTGAATGTTATTTTTGCATTATGTCATAGATATCGTTACATAATGTATTTATAAAATAACGACAATTATATATTTTACTATGCCATTGGAATGCTGGTATGTACTTATAGCACAGCAGTTTTATAGATATCTCTCTCTTCTCTACTGATTATGTCTCACCTCCGAGCACGTCGTAACAGGAAGAGAAACTCTCTACCGTAGACAAAGTTTTCTCTACGTAGCGATATATAAGTTGCCGCAAGTAAAATTACCTTTCATTATCATAGTGGTCACACTAAACCGGTACCTAATAGTTTTTAAAGGCACAACTCTAACTCCCTTCATTTATATCCACCGTCACGTTATTTATTACGGCTTATGGCGTGCATTAAATCAATGAAAATAAAAGGTAACAGTAATTTTGCTATTTTTGTTACGCAAATTATATTGATATTTTTGTTGAGTTGAAAGCGCATTTTGACGAAAAACGAAATAATAGCAAAAAAAAGCCATCTTGTGTTTTGTTGACTATTTTTCTGTTGTTCTTTCAAATGTTCACAAAGTTTATCACCGAAATGTACGAATCAAATTCTGGTAATAAACGCGTGCCTTACTTTCCTTCACTTACTTTGAACCCGCACAGATACACATGTGGATGACAGATGCACAAATAATCCATCAATTCACAGGACACCTTGAAATTACTGAGGAACTCGGCCTCAGGGAGATGAAACGGTTCACAAAATTAGCGTACCGTCATTATTTGACTCTTTCGTGTCAGTTTTTCTTCGTAAAATCTTAGTAAATAACTACTATAGGCACGAGACACTTTCATTGCATAAAATTAGTATTAAATTTAAATCACGAATTAGAAAGATATAGTATTTAAATTAAAAGCGTCTCTTGTCTCCTGCCCCTTGGGGAGTAGAGATATTTTGCTACGACGATCTGTCAAAACTACGAAATTTGGCTGTCGTGCTATGGTTATATATACCAGATAACTTTTGTCTTTGAGCTCAGGCTAAGTCTGCAGATTTTCCTTTTTTAAGTACCAGCTGTCATAATTATGTTCTGATTCTTTAATAGTTTCTTACTGCACTATGCATGTTGTATTGTTATAATACTTAGAACATATAGTTGAAGAATTTACTACACTTTGTTAATACTATTTATAAATATAATTGTAAATACATTTTGCTATCACTCTTTATATTTTTCCGACATTTGTTTAACAAAATATATTTAAACATGACATTTAAACATATTTCTTCTTTTTGACCATTGAGTTTCATTGAACATCACGCTCAAACTCTAACAATAATGGCAAGTAAATTATTATTATTATATTTTATTATAATTACTTTATAACCGAAGGCGAGGTTATCCTACTTATTAATGCTAATAAATATAGCGGCTTTTAGGTCCTCTCCTTTTAGGAAAACCGCCAAACGAAAACAGCAGTTTCACATATCGAGGTATCTGATGCATAACTCAATAAGTGTGTGAATTTCGTTAAATGAGGTTATCAAGCCTATTATAATATACCTTTCACGCTGTTTTTATGACGCAATTCAATAAGCACATTTATTAATGTAGCACAGAAACAATTTAGTTACAAACCCTGTATATTACATCGCTGAAAAGTGCACTTTGTTAGATAACTAATTTCATGAAAAAAAAGACACTTGTTGGATTTGGGACCCTTTGATATTTTGGCCAAGTAACTATACGAAAAAATCATAAACTAACAACTTAAAGACCCGCACTAGTGATGATCTTTAAGTCACAAATTTAGCACTTTTAAGTTTTTATTAAATAAAATTTACTTTTAAGTATACTTGGCATTAAATGAACACATTGTATACAGGCATAGAAGGACGATACGTATCAGCGCTATTCAGTGCTGGTTCCCAGACTAACAAACTGAACGAAATTGAACAAAGTCTTCGCAGCATCCAGGGTTCTCTTGTTAAACCTGCAATTCAGGACTTCATTGACTCCAGTATGGTCTCCGGAAAAGAGAAGGCTAAACTCATGCTGGAAATTGGAAAAGAAACAGGTAACTTACCAGACACGATAGATTGAGACGAAATTTATCTTTTCTCTACAAGCTACAAAGTAAAATAAAGCAAAATAATATAGGATTCTGATATTTCAAAATGATTAAGTGAAGTTTTCACAGATTTCTCGCAGGCGCTGCGGAGAAAAATCATTAAAATGAAAAACAAAGATCCGTAACAAGCGCATAGGGAAATTCGTAAGGTCTTCTGACTCGTTCCGTAACTCAGTTGGGATTGTGATAGCTCCGGTATGGCGAGGTCGCTGGTTCGAGTCCAGCCGGATCGAAGAAATATTTCTTTGTATTAGTATATACTAAAGATTCTGGCCCTGGTACTCTCGATGTCCGTCCCACATCCGTCCGAAAAAATTACCGTGAAATATCTAATACTCGATCAAATTAAAAGATGCATGATGCGAATGAAACTTGACATTGTCTTTTAATTTAGTCAAGTATTGCTTATTTGACAGTAATTGTTTCTGCGGGTGTCGGACGGAGAAGGAGAGTAGACCCTCAGTTCATGTAATCGGTACTATTTTTGGATTAAAATGTTTAGTTTTTTTCACTATCAGCGACTTTAGAATCCCAAAAATTTATAACTTTTTATGTCTTAGGTATGCCCGCAGAAGCAGCGAACTTCTTAGCCGTAGTAGCTGAAAACGGGCGACTGAAATATCTCAGAAAGATGATCACGATGTTTCTGGCAGTCATGGTAGCTCACAGAAAAGAGGCACTATGTGAAGTTATAACTGCGAAGCCCTTAGATGACAGCACTAGAAGCAGTCTCATGGCAGCGCTAAAGAAATTCGCAAAAGGAAAAAATATTCAGCTCACTGAAAAAGTGGACCCTAGTATCATAGGAGGAATGGTCGTTGGTGTCGAAGACAAACACATTGATATGAGTATATCCAGGAAAATACAAATGTATACTGACATCTTAAAACAAAGCATCTAGGCGGCGAAAGAAGACAAGCTCAAAACTACGGATACCTTGATTTTGTGTCAGTAAAGGAAAGAAATAAAAATATCTATAAATAAAAAGTCGTATTTTCAAAAATAATTCAATATACTTCAATCAATATAACCAATTATAACATATGAAACTACGAAGAAAGTGGTCCCTTAAAGCACGAATCTCTTGAGATATAAATAGAGGTCCATATCTGTATGTTCCACGGGTTACATTGTTTGGTGTTATATTAATTCGCATGGTAACCAGGGCTCCAATTCTTTGGGGGAGACAAACACGGTGAATTTGCCAAGATCACTGGGATCTTTTCCGTGTGAATTCTGAAGTTGGGGCTGTTAGTGCTTAGACTTCCATTCCTGACCTTTTGCAAGCTTGATGTAAGAACCCATAACTCCTGTTCTCCCTCAAGGTTGTTGATGACTTTGATCCCACTGGCGAACTGCAGAGTTTCTCTGTCTAGGGCGACTTGGTAGAAATTACTTTGATTGTACTCCGTGGCAGAATTCCAGCTCCAAATACTTGGCGGGTTCATGAGTCCGAAATACATGATGCCGTTCAGATCCATTGCTTCCGCTGCTGATTGATTTGATCGCTCACCCGGGAATGTCTGTAAAAAGTCCCCAAGTAAACAATAAGTACTAAGAAGCGGCTTCTGATATTTTTTCACAGAACAGAAAAGATGAAAGATAGAAAATGCCTTTGAATTCAAGTAATAGATCTTATTTTTATCTTTCTATTTTAGTTGAGGTCAATTATAATAAATAGGTGCCTAGATGTCAAGTCGCAGACACCAGCCCGTCGTACCACAATATAATAGTAAAATATCGAGTTCTTAGGTTTTCGCGATTGTTACACGTAGGAAATAAAAATATTTTTCCGGATTTAAATCGCGTATATTTGTTTTTTAAACAAACCGACGTTTCTGGCCCTTTACAGGTCCCATCAATCAGTCCCATCAGTCAGTCAACCGTGACCATGGGACCTGTAAAGGGCCCGAAACGTCGGTTTGTTTGAAAAAACAAATATACGCGATTTAAATCCGGAAAAATAGTTTCATTTCCTATAATAGTAAAAGTTTAATTTGATATCTTTATAAGTTATAACATGTTTACAACGATGGTAATTGTAGAGATAGTGAGGCATAAATATGGTCACGGAATAACAAACAAGTGGAAGTGTAAAGTGGATGTTCCCTTGTAGCCATTATTATGATATATCTATCACAACCAACTTTGCTATGCACCAACGCTCTCTTATGCTCTGGCCACACAGAGGCGGCCGCGGAAACGTTCCGGGCGTGGGAATTTTTGTAATGTACGAATTCATATGAACCCTGCTACACTGAAACGCGCGGTCGACGCGCGGCCGCCGCGCGTTTCAGTGTAGCAGGGTTCATATTATAGACTCTTACATTATAAAAATTCTCACGCACGGAACGCTTCCACGGCCGCCTCTGAGTGCCTTAAGCAATAGGACGAACATGTGCTTCACTACGTAAACCAAAAATATTTTGAGTGAATTATGGTTTATTGTTCAGTTATCTCGTATGATTGAAGGTTATTCATTGGGTTCGCGGGGTAACAAAATATTTTACTTCTATTGTTATTACATTGACTTTCACAAAGTAACGCCTGAATCTATTAATTATTTGGACGTTGGCATTTCCGTTAGTCATGTTCAACTTACACTGATAAGTTTCGGGTCAACGTTAGGATCTGCCATGAAACTATCATTCTTCAGTACAGATGTGCGGACGACGTTTTCTTTGGTGGAAGAAATAGCGTGGAAGTAGAGGGACCGATCGCGATTACTACTCCAAGGGGACAACGCCATGCCCACTACTCCGTCCAATAAACTGATAGTCACACCTGAAAGTAAATTTTACACACTATACTCCGTAAAACTAAGCCTGATTAGAATGATAGTTCAGTAAAATTAAGATGACGTAATTTTGTAGAAGTGTCCTACAAATACATATATTTTTTTAAACATCAAAAATCAATAAATATATTACATATTTAAATAAGTCCATATTGGCAAATAGTTCACTAAGAAATACTATTCGTGTTTGTTTTCACAACTTATATACAACGAAGTAATGTCTGATGAAAAAGAATTTGTGATGGGACTCATCGGAAATCTAGAGTTGATCAACTCATCCACTTGAATAATGATTTGGCGGCAATTTTTAAATTGTGCACCATTGTAACATGCAATGTTTACCAATGTATATCAATACTATTATTTAGTTAAGCTTCAGTACAGCACGGAAATAAAAATAAAAATTAAGAAATAGTGGCGCCACTCTATTAATGTATTATATTATATTTCTATTTCTATCTATATGAGTTGATTTCAGTTATTGCCATGATATATTACTAGAATGCTAATTTAAATTTGTCAAAATGCAGTCGATGTATTTTAACATCGATTCTCGATTTCACTGATCGTGTCCTTTCACTGATTTATGAAGTTTGACATTTGTCACTGCCATGTATCATGACGGATACGGAAATAATGAAAAAACAAGTAAATCGCGTGTATTTGTTAATTCAAAACATCGAGTATATAACCAGAAATAAAGACGAAATAAGGGCCATCCATACCTAGCAACTCATCAGGTAAATGGGCCTTATGTGACTTTTAAACATCAACTCTCGTCACAAATTAGAAAGCTGAAATAGTACAGCGCAGCGCCAACAACTGACCGGTGAGTACGTCTCCGTAAATTCCAAAAATATTACGTATTTATTGTAGCAAAGATAATATCTCTAACAATCGGGACTGTTCCATTCGGTGGTGTGGGAAAAACAGCAAAACATCTAATTATAAAACAAACGGAATCACATTCCATCGGTAATTAAATATTTAATATGTAATTTTTCAATTTTCGTTCATTATAGGAAAGCTCGAATGAAACTGGTCGATTTGAAGCGAAACGGTTGACGACACTTTTTGAGTGATTTGTGTAAAACCTTTTTTCTTTTGGTTTTAAGGTCTTAAACGTACACATAAGTTCAAACAATGTCAATAATTATTAAATCACAGAAATATTTAAGTGAAACACAACAAGAAACGATATTTTAGGTCACAGGAATGAGATTACAGTAACACAAATGATTTTCTCATAAACATAAATGAGGAAAACAGCACAGTAATGACATTTACTGAGAATGACAATTACAACGCACATTTTATCGTTCACATAAGAATATTTAACAACATGTAACGTGCAACAAATATTTTAATATCAATTCTTGTAAAATCGTATATATTTGGTTTTTCAAACAAACCGACGTTTCGGGCCCTTTACATGTCCCATGGTCACGATGGCATGATGGATGGATGAAAAGTAGGCGTCAGAGTCGTAAGAAGGCTGTGGTCTATGCCTACCCCGATGGGAAATGATTTTTATGCCATATGTTATATGTATATTATTATGACATATATTATGTGGTTTATGTGGCGTAGTTATGACTGGTTGAAGACTGTACCACCTCAGTCAACCGTGACCATGGGACCTGAAAAGGGCCCGAAACGTCGGTTTGTTCGAAAAAAAAAATACGCGATTTAAATCCGGAAAAATAGGGTCATTTCCTACATTTTGTATTCCCAAGAAAACATATTTGTTAATAATAAATTGGAAAGACTAAGTAAACAAGCAATCATATTAAATAAAATAATGCTTAGCATTCATGTAATAATATAAAAGTTGTTGAAAGGGACACATTTTTTGAGGTTATCTGAAAACGACCAGCAATCGCAGTGTAGTTGTCACAGTAGTGATTTGCCAAAATAGTTTTCAAACAAATTAAATGACATTTCGTCTCTATTTCTCTTAGACTATGGAAACTAAAGGACATGTTACGTTGATATATATAAATCAGACGTTATACGTATATGATGCATTTCGACGTCGAAAACATAAACATGTTATTGTCTTTGTTTATTAACTATTACGTGCCGTCTTAAGCCAAAAGAGATAGCATTACATTGGTCTGTGTCAAACACGGGAATCGAAAATACGTAACGTCATCTTAAATGCCAACCGTGTCCATGTCGCAGTACATGAGGTACATGATTGTTTGCACACCTGTATTTTTGCGTAAAATCAGAGTTCGAGATCACTCTCTGTGCGAGTGCGGCCTAGAAGACGGTACCTTGGAACACATTTTTTTCAATTGTCCTAATATTGCTGTTCCACTTTATAACTTACTTTCTCCAAAATTCCCCCGCCCCATTAACATAAACAACCTCTTAACTTTAGTGTTCTCCCCCCATATTGTTTTACATTCTCAACTGAGTACTCCCGTAGTCCAACTTACCAACACCGGTTAATGTCCTATTAGAGCTTAGCGAAAATTTTTTTGTTTCGTTTTTTTTCTTTCAACTGTGACATTGGCAAAATCATCAGTTCTCATATTGATGGAGCCATAAAAATAAAAAGTGAAGTGAAGTGAGGTACATGATACCATTGTCAAAGGGAAGTACATCAAATGTCAAAACAAATGTTTTCCAAATGTGCTATTGAATTATTCGCATGTATTGTAATTAAATTCGACAAAAATATTGACAGTGAGAATAATTAGGTATTAATAAAAATGCCACGCTGCAGCATTAAGGGATTTGGCTTTAGAAAAAGTGCAAATCAATCGGATGTTACTTTGCAAAGGCATGTGTTATTTTTTTGTCTATAAATCACACAATAGCCCAAACATTTCATGTAATTAGACTTATTTAAGTAGTTTATTTATAAATCTTGCCAAATTTTGCTTTTGTTACTTTAGATTGCCAATGATTATTTTGAGATAGTGTTGATCTTATAAGCATACATATTATCGATATTCTGTTATTAAAACAATTCACTACGAGGTTTTTATTGTTTTATTATTATTATTTTCATTATTTCAAGTTTTCCTACAAATGAAAAAAGGAAGGAAGAATGGTTGGAAATCATAGGACTGCCGAATATAAACGTTGGATCAAAGACCATCTTCATTTGTTCGCTTCATTTTGAAGAGTCAATTTTTAACAGAACTTTGAATGTAACTAGATTACATGACAATGCTATTCCATCATTAAGTTTATTGGTAAATAAATTTATGTTCAATTTAGATTAAACAATACTCATTTACTAGTTATTCTCAGTTCCTGAAAACAAAATTATCCACTCGTTTCTGATTTTTCCCAATGACAACTCTATTAAAAATGACTATTTTTTTTAAGCCTGCAAACTGCAAACAATGACATTAACGTTGCCGGATAAAGGCCAATACCAACGTATAGTTAGCCTATTTGCTTGCCTTGCCATCGTTCGGTTTAATAATAATATGCCACTCGAGATTAAATTATTAGACTTGTGTTTGTTTAGGCATACTTTGGTTATAGTAAACTAAAGAAATAAAAAAATAACAGTTTCAACATCCAAGCCATACATTTGCATGTCGATAATGACTTATCGATAGATTATGGTACAACACTAAAGAAATCCGCCATTTATAACTTTCAAATTTTGATTACAAGCACGTTGATTCTGTAGGTAGGGCAGCTCCTTTCTTTAATTTTTTTCCATCCTCTAAGCTATTTCTGGTCATATACTGTATGTAGGTATCGACCGTGACCATGGAACTTGTAACAAGCCCGCGAAACGTTGCTATTTGGTTGAAAAACTAAATTTAAACGAATTGGATCCGAAAAAAGTTTCATTTTTCAATGTGTGTTAATCGCGTCAACCTAAGCGAGATCTGACAAATGCGCTTGCTTACGAAGAACTCACGAGTTGCACATGTGCAACACGTAGTGCGATCAGTGCATCTACCATGAGATTACAGTGACAGTCAACGCCAGCGACCGAGTAAAATGTTTGTGTACAAAATGTTGTTCCTTCTTGTCACCACTAGGGGCGCTGTATAATGTGTCACACAAAATTGTCAAGTAATTTACGCTGCCGGTAGTGCGAATTGTCACAGCATTCTCGTGGTTCAGGCGCAGTACCTTGCATGCTCTACCATGAGCTAGCTGTGACAGTTGTCGGTAGCGATAGCGTAGAGTATTTGTCAAATTGTATATGGCAAATCATACAGTGCCCTCCTGTGGCCCCAAGAAGTAACGTTTTACATATTGTCACTTTAGAGCGGTTAGCGATGCAAACGCGACGCAAACACAATGCAGTAGCTAATCGTCTACCTTTAAACAAACGCGCGTTTGTCTCGATGCAGTCGCGCGTTTGCATCGATGCAATGGCCTATAAATCGCAAGTGTAGCGTTGCAGTCGCGCGTTTCATAAATGCGCGTTTGCATTGCTGCTAAAAATCGCCGTGTGTAATCACTCTTAGATTGAAATTTTCATATAGTTCGTTTTTACTGATTTTTGTGAAGGAAAAATTTACAAACTTTTTGCTCAAATATATTACTAAAGTAATATGGTATCTGAAAGAAGTATAATTTAACTAATTAAAATGCTTACTACAAACACTATTGCGTTTACTACATTTTACACCACATTTTTATCTTCGTCCTGAAAATTACACAGAAATCACGTACGAGGTATTCAAGGTAAGGCGACGATATCCATATTTTTTGCGCGGTCGCTAGCAACAAATGTGAGTATAAACTTATGGTTTACCATAAGTTTATACTCACAGAGACCTTTAGGTCTCTTCATGTCGGGCCAGTAGTAATGTAGCAACAAATGTGAGTATAAACTTATGGTTTACCATAAGTTTATACTCAAAGAGACCTTTAGGTCTCTTCATGTCGGGCCGTTTGCGTGCTGCTCGCAAGCGCGCCGTCTATGCGTCTATGTGATTACAGAGGAGTATTTAACTGCACGCTAACAGCGCGGGCGCGACGCACATGCGGCGCGTTTGCAATATTTTGACGATCTCCTTAATCGAGTGACTTGCACACCGGATCTCTTTGTGTCGGCATCTCACAAGGGTAAAAAGGTGGAGGTTCTCAATTCGTTTTTTTTTGTATGTATGTATGTTATGCGATAACTCCGGTATTTGTGAACCGATTTTCATGATTCTTTTTTTGTTGGAAAGAGAGTACTTCCATAGTGGTCCCATTTTATTTGTGAAGAAAATCATCCACCTCTAAGGGTGGCTGATCACGCATGAACATTCATTTTTATAAATAGCGCCTAAATTGTACTTAAGGAGCAATTATTTTAATGGTTGGTTTTGCTATTTTCCAAATCAAGGCGTTTTTCTCTCTCAATATAGTTTGAGTAGTGAGAACCGATTTTATTATTTTTATGTCAAGTTCTGTATAGTGGCGAATTAGGGGATACTTCAACAAAGCTTGGCAAATAGATGTAATTCCACGTACTTTTGAGGTCGGTTTTTTTAGTACTCTGTACTGAGATTATTTATTTATCTTTACGCACCCTATTAACTTGACTAGTAAACCATAGCCAGGATTACTATAAAATTATATTTCCTATTCCGCAGTCATGGTCTTATAATAGGGTTATTTTGTTATTTTTTATTTTTATTTATTTATATATTTATTTCAGGCCACATGACTCATATAATATATAATATACATACAATATAAATAAAATAAACAACTAATGTACACGTATTGCACTTGTCAGCGACGTGTGGCGCAATCTGGTGTCACCGTCTGTGAAGCCGCCGATATATGACACCCTTCGGCCAAAACTCTTCCTTCATCAAGGCCGACAGATCTTCGGTTGGCACCCTCACCACAAACGAATTAAAATTTACGTTGTGGCGGGACTCCAACCGCTCGACCCTCAGGGTGTATTTCGCTTTTAGCCTGTTGTACTCCACAATTTCCTCAGACTTCGTGGAGTAATGTAGTCGCGACAGGTACAGCAGCGTCGTCGGTGTTGCTGAACAGAGCAAAAAGTTCGAGCCTGTCGGTGCTGTACCACACAGGTTACGACTGGTGGGCTTCCTCTTCCTCTTCACCTTTGTGAAGCCATCCTCGACGCATTGATCCGTTTGCCTCTGTGGTTTTGCAACTTCGGAGACAGGCACACGGGGTTACTTTTACTCTTAGCCGATTGTCTCTCGAGTTTCGAAGTGGCGGGTCGGCTGGTACAAACGGCTACAGCGGCGTAAGTACGTGCAGGGACTGACATGCATACGCGTGACGTTTCCGCCGGGGCGGAGGCGCGGGCAGCAGGACGCGGCGCATCGCGCGCGATAGCAGCAGCGATCGGTGACGCAACCATTTGTGCCGACTCGATACTGCTGATGGATGCATTTTGCGCCCCACGACACGTGTTTACATTAGAGACTTCTGGTGACCTACATACTGAAGCAGCGTTGCTTAATAACGCAACTCGGGCATGCAGCTCACGTATGGTGTTATCTGAAGTCTCCAATCTACACTGCAACTCAATCAGGCTTGACTTCAGGGAAGTGATATCCGTCAGCAGCCTGGTAACATCGACGTGGTCGAACGTGACGGGGGGCAGTTTGTGCAGCTCCTTCGCCACGAATGTAAGCACGTCGTCCGGGTCAGTCTCCTTCAGGAGTGTGATATCATCCTGGAGACTCTTCACGCCTCCATCCCTCCGGCGAGTTGGCATCTGCTCAGCTTTGCCGAGGCTCTCGAACAACAGCATCTTGCCACTGCAAATCTCATCCTCGTTGAAGTTGGATTTGCAGATCTGCACGATACTGACTTCGTCCATGGTATCGATGACGTGTTATTAACTGTGAAACCCTTACATGACATCGTGAGCTTTTAAGAAATTCGCAAACGACTAAAGGAAATTCAGCTCACAGAAAAAGTTAAGGTGTAATTGACAACAAACTATTGCGAGCTAATGATGTGGTGGAATCTTACCTTCAATGGTGATATTCTCTCGTGAGGGCTCCGGAGAGAAGGTAGAATGAATGACGCGCCAAGAGCGTTCTCTCGCCACGTCGACCACTGTCAGTGAGTGGCCATGCACGTCAGCGACGTACACATATGTATCACCGCAATCGCCTGGTCTTACATCTACCACCTGAATTAATTTTCGTTAACAGTGTCATTAGAAAGGATTAAAACTTAACTGATTAATGCACAGTGGTTTTTGATAAAACAAGTTTATTTATCCTGAAGTAGCAAGTGCATAATAAGAAAATTACATCAAAACATTGTTTAGACTTTTTTTATAATGTCAAGTGACGGGACGAACAGGTCTTGCGTCTGACGCTAAGCTACATGCCTGTCCATAACAGTTGCAGAGCCACTCAGAGCTTTAAGGCACATGAGACTAGTCTCATGTGCCTGTAATTTCACAACCACGTTTTGAACTACATTGTTACTAAACGTGCGATTAAGTACTTACATAGACAGGTAGGGTGTACGTAACACTCAATTTATATCGCAGCGGAACGGGATTTAAGCGAATTTTTGTAACGATGATAGTAATGCTACGTACTTATGGTCACTTGTGTATTAATAATAATTGCACGAAGATTCTCGAGCATATGCGACTTCCGCGGAAGATTTTGACTCGTATCTAGCTTGTGCATTACACAATTGATTTTATGTTCAATAGGCTATGTATAATATCGTTACAAAAATTTGCTTCCATTCCGGTCCGTCGCAATATAAATTGAGCCTAATGAGCAATTATTTTCTGCATTGCTGTGTGATTTTGGATACTAATAGGCGTAGGGTCATTGGTTTATTTTGATAATCAAATTGATCAACTTTAGTTTAGATCGAATAATTGGAGTGGCTGTTTGGCACATTATTATTATTTATTCAACATCTTAAACGCCATGGTTAACAACAAGCTATTGATTGTTACTGATTAAAAAATAACCCATAAAGTGACAAGGCCCAGTGTATGGAACCAAAGGAAGCTTGCTTAGTATTTGCGCCAAATAGGGAATGGGGTACATAAAAGTCTCATCCCACGATGGCTTACCTGTACACTCAGGCGCGCCCTGGGCAACGATCGAAGAGGACCTTACGCCAATCAGCAAATTATTTCATCATGATGGCGAGCATCGTAGCGTATGCCATCGACACGGTAAGAAGAACAATGTTAACTTACTGGAGTAACAAACAGTGATTGTGGAGTATAAACGGACTTGTTGAACTGGTGCCGGAAGACGAGGCTGTCATCGTGGAGGTCGAAAGCCAACAGCTGTGGAGGACAGTATTCCGTGCGGCCGATCTTGCCTGTGTCCATCACCCAGAGCCTATTGCATTCGTCTATCTGAAATTGTGTACATTTGAAGTCTAATTATTGATTTTTATTGAATATCGTAGTTATAATTGTTTTTTAACTGCCTCTGTGGCCGAACGGTTACCATGCCGGACTGCCACGCAGAGGTCCCAGGTTCGATTCCCGGGCGGAGAGAAATATTTGTATGACCTACATTTGTTTCTCTCGTGAGTTTGGGTGTAATTTGTGGTTGTCTATATGTGTGTCCATGGCACCCGCGACACAGGGTTTCACTAGTGCAGGGCTATGTTGAGTGTGTGTGTTATTATTATTATTTTTTTTTTCGTGAAATAGCCCCATTAGTTTGTTGTAATTATTAATACAAAGATTGGCGATACACTTAGACAAATTTGTAAGGTCTGCCAACTCAATCTGTAGCTCGGCAATCTGTAAAGCGGTGGCCCTGGAAAGGTTTGAGTACTGTCAGTCGAAGGAATTTTTCTTTGTGATCGATGTTTGTATTAACAATTTGATGCTGAGAAGTAATAAAGTGCAAACAACATGATAATAGTTCTGCGAAAATGGCAATACTTTTTGTACTTTTTGATAGATTTTCTAAAATTTTATTGTTAAATGAAAACTTTTGCTATTATGCTTGTTGTTGTTGGGGAATTATAGTAATAAATCACAGCAATTCTTCATTCCTGGGGTGACTACAATTCTTGATTAGAAAACTACCGAGAGACTTAGACATATTAAGGAAAATATCGGGCACTCACATAATTAAGTCGATTTTTTGCTCGACATGGTTCGATCTAGTCCATGGTCCTTAATCATGAGATTACAAAACAAAAAAGGTAAACACATAAGTTATCCATTATTTTGTTAACATAGTTCTTGAATTAATGTATTAATCATTGGTTCTTAAAATAATAAGTAAAATATTCTATCTTGGACGTAAAAAAAAACAATGACTACAAAAATTATAAACGTACCTAAGTTTGTTAGAATACTCTGTGGACAACAAGCGACGTTATTGCTAAGTGGGAATAAAAATTAGGAAATGCGAAATTCCTATTTTTCGTGTCAAAATTTCTTTTATAATAATAAAAAAAGTGACGTTCTTACGCCCTTGTACTTAATCGGGCTTGTTTGTACGCCCGTGCGCCCTATGGTAAGCTACATGCCTATTCACAACAGTTGCAGTGTCACTCAGAGCTTTAAATCGCAAACATCTGAGGGGCACTGCTATTGCTTCTGTCACCCTGAGACACAAGTTAACAAATTTAAAACATATGTGTGGTAGTTTATGACCAATGTTTTTTTATATTTGTGGCCGCTATTTCTTCAAGGCCACTGATTAGATTTTAATGAAATGTTTACGTTAAAGTGCTAATAATTATAGTTTTGAAAAGAATTGCAGATTTGATGACAGCCCTGGTGCTTATATTTCATTTAGTAGTGACTTTTTATTTTGCAAAGCGTATTTTGCTACTATAACTTACAACAACTCTGCTGAGAACAGTCTATTAACTTTGGTAATATAGTTTAGTTTATGGTTATGATTATAAGAAGGATTGTACACGAGAAACACAGAGAGAACACAGTAGCTATGTAATGTGTCATATATTTAAATCAGTATCTCTAGGTCTTAGAGGATGGAAAATAGTCTAAGACATAGGTTACCGCTTGTTTACATTTTTCTGTGTCATTCTATTAGTTCTATGCTATAAAGTGAATTCTTTAATTATTTAACAAACTGGCGATGATGTCATTTGATTGACTTTCATATGCGTCTCAGTTATCGTTGAGGACACCACGGCAACGAACACACCGAAAGCGGATAAGCAAGCTTTTGAGATTGGTTTTTTTATAAATAATTGTAACTCTTCATTAAAAAAACCGACCTCAAAAAAAATTACATCCATTAGCCAAGGTTTATTGAAATCGGTTACCGGATGTGCGCGAAACCGGATTCATTCCCTAGTTTGCCACCCTTAGAGGTGGAATATTTTCTTCAAATTTAAATGGGACCAATACTAAGATACCCTATTTCGAGTCACACATACACAAAAAATACAGTCGAATTGAGAACCTCCTCCTTTTTTTGAATTCGGTTAAAAAAGTTAGCATTATTTATGTTTGAGGTCACTTACAGCAGTCCTAAATACTGACGTTAGTCCTTCGCAGTTCTGGCCCTGATTTTCGTGCCAGGAGTAGTTAGGGTATGCAGAGATTTTGCCCATCTCGTCCACTGTGCCCAGAGTCACGGGAGTACCTTCGCCGGTGCGAGGTGTCGTTACGAAAATTCGTGGCGATAGAGTGTCTGAAATTGGATAAAGTGTTTAAACTGGTTGTTCTTGAAGTCGTCTTCACAAAGTCACAAATTCAATGAAGGGCAATGAATGCGTATACGCTTCTACAATAAGATTTCGGTTGTTATTCGAAATTTTCCATTTAAGAGGTTTAACTATACATTATATTATTATTATTTGCTTTATTCTTCTCGGCTTGTTAGCTGGTTTGAAACGCATTTATGGACCGAAGTCAAGTAAATGCAGTATGGCGTGTATCTAAGCGTATGTGGTGGGTGTGCAATAAGATCCTACTTCGTCCTCTTCCATCTGCATGAACTTTCTGACTTTATTATTATTATTATTATTATCGTCGACTTCGTCGTCATTCTCCATCAGGGGTTATGGAGGACAAATCTGCCGTCCTCTATATCTAATACGCGGCTAAGTGACAAAATATTTTTTGAGATATCATAACAAACCATATTCCAGTTTTGAATACTGAAATTGTTTAGTGATATTTCAGCTACACATCGTTAACTAATTTTAGTTGTTTTTAAAAGAGAATTTTGTGCTCTATCTTTTGCTTTTTAAAATGGATATTTGACCTTTTGTCACTTGCCGCGTGTTAGGTAGTGGACGGGAGAAATGCATTTTTAATGAAATAAAAAAATTTTGCCACAGTGTCCCCTAAGAGACATTGTCTGCATCAAAGAATTTAAGAATTTTCCTGGCTTTCTTTGTTTTGATCTCTTCTTGCTGCTTCTATTAAAATCTCTCCCGTACTAATACGGTTAATTCATTTTGTTTGGGTCGAGCGGCAGAGACGAACGAACGAAATTAAAGCCATTCGAAAAATGTATATCGTATTTAGTTCAATTGATATAAAAAAGTAATTATTGCTATATGCAAAGTACCCATTGAATACAGCGGTTTTCTTGTAAAATTAAAAATTTCATGGTAAGTTTGTGTTTTTTTTCTATTAGAAAATTTTTGGGAATCGTGTTTTCATACTGCATACTTATCAGTGTGTCCTCAATTTTTTTTTACTATATATTTTTTACAAAGTGATTGATTCAACACTTTCAGTGCTATGCGGAATCAACCAAAGCCGACTTAAGCTACTCCGGATATAGAGGGGCCTCGACTGTTTCGAATAGAATTTACAAACTTGGCTGTTTTTAGCTTAATTTGAGATGCCATGGTAAAACTCAAACTCAAATAATGTGTATTTTATAGGTAAGCAAATCACACTTGAAATAGTCACATTGATAAACTCTACTACTCATTCGTAAATTCCCCTTCAAAAAATGAGTGATAAACTCTAGAGATTGCTCTAGAGATTTTAAATATTTGTATACATTTATAATTTACAATTTCGAATATTTAATAATGTGCAAGAGGTATTTGGTTCACTACTATGTATTTTTGTTATTTAAGTACACGTAAGCTATATTTAACCTTTAGTATAAAGTTTTTGTTTCACTATAGTTTTAAACTTTTTAAATGGAAAATTTTGAATATCAATCAGAACCTTATTATAAGCGTACCGTGGCCAGCATTCTGTTTTAAGGAGACCGGTCTAGCATCACAGTACAGTTACTCAAATATTTTGTATGCCGATAAAAATATACATAGGTTAGGACAGAGGAGATTCATAATGTTAACCTTAGAACTAACTCATGGTACCATTATAGCATAAAAGTTACAAAAGTAAATAAAAGTAGTATAAAGGTACCATGATTTCGGTTAGGTAAACGATTCTTTTATGGAGAACTGTATACGTTTTTACAATAAGATTCCGGAGCGTATATTAAGATTGTCATTTCTTAAGTTTAAAACTTACATCAATATACTTTTAATTGAAAATTCGTATTACAAAATTGAAGACTACGAATAAGATAAAGGTGCATGGAAAGACGACATGGCTCTAGATTCCATACAAATTGGTAAAATAATAAATAAAAATATCCAAAGCATTTAAGTTTATTTGAAAAGGGAGTTTCAGTAGGTAGGGAAGTCAGCACGGTGAACGAGCAGTAGCTTAAAAAAAGTTAAGTGATAATTTATTTTACCACTGGAATAAATGATTTCTGACTTCGACTTTGACTGAAGCTATTCCTGTCAAGTGCCAGAGCTTGTCTACCGTATCACCGTAGGTTGCGGCAACGGCAATTGTATGAAAGTCGCTTCTAGTTGCCGGTAGCTTTGTAACCAACACAAGACACACGTTTGCGCGGCGCCTTAGATCCAAAGAATACTTTCATTTCCTACAGTCCCAAACGTTATTGTTTTTAGTTAAAAAGTGATTAAAAGGAGACTTAGACTTAGTCTTTAAATCTCAAAGATATTAGGGGCACTGCAGTGGCAGCCGGTCACCCTGAGACAGAAGTTGACAAATCCCATATGCCTGTAATTTCACCAGCACCCTTACATTTCGAAATCGGAACGCAGTAATGCTAACATTACTGCTTGGCGGTAGAAATAGGTAAGGTAGCAGTACTTCCCTGGACGAAATAATGGTCACGGCTGATGCGGTGGACGCGATTTAGATCCAAAATATGGTTTCATTCCCTCTGTATTACTATCGCGAAAACCTAAGAGTTCGATATAAAAGAGAAAATATACAAAACCGTGATTAGACCTGTCGTACTATATGGACCAGAATGTTAGCCGATGAAAAGGAAGGATGGACTGTGCATGCAGCAAAAATGCGAACGTTGAGATGGATGTGTGGAGTGACGAGAAATTATAGGAACGGGTACATCAGGGGAAGTTTGAAAGTGGCGCCAGCGAATGAAAATATGAGGAGTAACAGGTTAGCGTGGTATGGACACGTAATGCGGAGGGAAGAATGTCATGTGACAATAAGAGTGTTAGGTATGAATGTGGAAGGATATAAGGAGAGAGGAAGGTTAAAGAAAAATATGATAGATTGTTGCAAGGTGTGAGTATGGAAATGACGGCTGACAAGGGAGAGTGGAAGAAAAATACATGAAGTGCCGACCACACCTAATGTGGGATAAGGACAGCAAGAAGAGAGTTAATCAGTAAGTAAAACTCTAGCAAATAGTAAAAGCACATTATGCGATTTGCTTACCTTTGAAGTAACATTATGTTTGCGCGGACATGGTTTTTTAATAATATTTAAACATAGTTTTAGGGTGTTCAATAAATTTAAATAATACATTTTTTATATAAAAACAACATTATTTAATATAAAAAAATTTAATAGAATAATGTTTTTCTTGGCTGTATATATGCTTAAATTGAAATACTTTGTGAAAAGTTATCCGACTCAATATTATAATGAATAAGTCCACTTGTTTGTGACTCACCATGTGTATACTGAACATCTACGTCAATAGGCGTAGACTTCCCCGGCACGTAATGCCCTTTGGTCAAAGCAATCTGCTTGGTTTCTTCATCAGGGAAGTTGAATTCCAACTTAATCCATTGCCTGGCCACGAGTAGGTTGCTTTCGGCGCCGAGTCCTGGCCAGCAGTACGCCAGGCAGTAGAATAAGAAGAAAACTCTCTGGAATCCGTACGACATCTCTGCCTTGAATATGTTAAGGAGTTCGGGATCTGAAAGATAAAATAATAAAATATAATATAATATAATGTAACGTAACGTAACGTAACGCAACGCAACGCAACGCAACGCAACGCAACGACACGACACGACACGACACGGCTAATAAATTGTTTTTTTTTTTAAACCGACCGACCTGATTATAATAAATATCAAACACATCGATTAATATTTGCGAGTAAGAAATGTTGAAACGTTCAAAAGTAAGGATTAAAATATGTTGTTTTTCATTTTAAATTAAAATGGGCCAAAGGTAGCTATTTCTTTAGAGGATGGAAAAAAAATGTTTCCATAGCCTAAGGCCATTTAAAAAGTATGAAGTATATTAGAATGTAAATAGAGTAGTAGAAATATATGGAAATAAATTATATCAAAAACACAACATCGTATTTGTTCTTTGGAATTTGATTCCGATTCATTATAAAACACGCAATTGGTGCCTGTAATTTCGCCAGCATCCTTAATTTTCCGAACCGGATCGCAGTACTCACATTACTGCTTGACGGCAGCAATAGGTAAGGTGGCAGTACTACCATGTGGACGAACTCATTATTAAGGAGCTCTGCTACTACTCAATTTCGTGATCGAGTCGTTTGTTTATTTTTTATTTTATTTTTATTGAAAACCAACCAACAGCGTTTACAATATCATAAATATTCAAAGTGAACTTTACATAGAACCACCAACCAATAACAGGTTTTCTAGAATGAAATGTAAGTATGGAATACAACACTACAAAAGCATCAGCTAGTATTAAATGCTTCTGATCTTCCCCAAAAACGTGGATGGTGGCCTGTGTGTCTGTCTGCCTCTCTCTCTCCTCAGCACCGTGTGTGTGTGTGTGTGTGTGTGTGTGTGTGTGTGTGTGTGTGAGTGTGTGTGTGTGTGAGTGTGTGTCTCTCTCTGTGTGTGTGTGAGTGCGTGAGTGTGTGTGTGTGTGTGTGTGTGTGTATGTATGAGAGAGAGTGTGTGTATGTGTGTATGAGAGAGAGTGTGAGTGTGTGTGTGTGTGTGTGTGATGTCAATGTATGTGTGTGTTTTAGAGAGAAAGATAATGTGTCTGTATGTGTGTATATAATAGTATTATGTATTATAAATTGAAATATGAACCTACTTTAACATAATGTTACTTTTATTTCAATATGTATAGCTTTGAATTTCAATTTAAACCATTACTACTGTGATGAGTAGTAATCTACATACATAACATAAATAATAATCGATATATTCAAAATAAATAAGTAAAATATAGGACTATTCACTGGTATTGCTCAAGCGAGCTAATGACTCCTTTTTAAAATATTGCCTTACATTGACAAAAAACATCGTGTTCACTAAAACGTGAATTATACAGCTTAGCAAGATGAGTCAGCGGATTGCTCATAGCGTAGTTTGTCGAGCACGGTGGTGTTTAAAATAAAGGAGAGACGTGTGCGACGCAACGACGTGCGGTATGTGATACAAGCCACAAGCTCCACACAATCAATATGACCATTCACAATGTCATGCAACAAACACATACATATCTAGAAACTTACCCTACCTACCTACCTACCTACCTACCTGCCTACCTACAAGGCTGAGAATATTATGATTTCGGCACGCTTCTTGATACGAATCAAACGACTTACGAGAACGATAATTGAGATGCTCAAGAAAAAATTTTCATTTTCTAAACGGTTAGTATAAACCGCATATTGCGGTGACTAGATCGAACTCGCGTATTCCAAAACACTGTGAACATATGCAAAATAAACGGACTTTAAAGTAAACATATTTTTAAATGGTTTGCACGAGCGTAGAAAAAAACCTAGATTTTTAAAAGCTTTAGTAGCTATGGAATCAATATATGATTAGATGGTACCAGTTTATGATCTAGAAATACGCCTAAGTCACGAACTTCCGAAGAATTGTTGATTGGCACACCGTTAAAGTTATTCGAGTAGATAATAGGCATCGAGTATATAACCAGAAATAGAGACGAAATGTCATTTAGTTTGTTTGAAAACTATCCTGCCATATCATTACTGTGACAACTGCGCTCCGATTGGCCAGCCCGAGTTCGAAACAATTGACGGGTGCCGTCAATGGGTGTCGTCAACTGTTTCACTTCAAATCGACCAGTTAACATGAGCTTTGCTATAATGGACAAAAATTGCAAAATTACATATTTAATTACCGATGAAATGTGATTCCGTTTGTTTTGTAACTAGATGTTTTGCTGTTTTTCTCACACCACCGAATAGAACAGCACGGCATTGTTAGAGATATTATCTTTATTACAATAAATACAGAATATTTTTTGGAATATACGGAGACGTACGCACAGGTCAGTAGTGGGTCTGTCTATATTGCAGTGCAAAAGGTAGTTGATATTTATAAGAGCTGTATCGCTAATGTGTTACCAGGAATATATGGCCCTTATTTCTGGTTATATACTCGATGACAGTTAGTCAACTATTGCTATCCAGGAGCTACTTTTAGTCAAATTATTACACTGTTAAGTGATTGCAACTTTGATAAATATACAACAGTGATTCTTATAATAGGTGATAGTACTAACATTAGTAAAAAAGAAGTAAATAGTATCATTGACGTGTTCTTGAGAATTCATGAGAAGTGTGGGTGTAAATTCATACTAAGTGCATTCCCTTACTGCTCTAACCTAGGCATCGCTCGTAATAAGTATATATATAACATAAATTCGCACATACATAATTTGACTTGCCGTCATAGTGACGTTATATTTTGTTTTGACATTAATAAGTTCGTAAGGAACTTCAAACTTTTTGAGGATAATTTACTTATACCCCTAAGGTATCTAAGACATATAGCTAGTTTGTTATCTTTTAATATTAAGGACGCTGTTATAGAAGATATAACACAGTCCCACGACAATGCTCCTACTTTAAGTAGCAACAGTATACATTTTACTAACCATAATTTAAACTAAAAAACACGACAACAGAAAAGTCTAATCGTTTCCATGGCAAAATATTAGAAATAAGTCTTTTTTTGCACGATATTTCCGTTGACGTGTTTTGTGTTACAGAACACTGGCTGAAAGATTACGAAGCCATTAACAATATAGAAAATTATGTAATAGTCAGTTCGTTCATAAGAAAGAGCTTAAGTAGAGGCGGATCCATGATTATTATTAAGCGTAACTTAAAATTGTAAAAGCGTAAGGATATCACAAATCTTTCTACTGAACGAACTATTGAGAATTCATGTGTGGAATTGGATCAGTTTGTCGTCTTATGTGTATACAGGCCCCCCTCTGCTAATTTTAACGAGTTTGAATTAATTATGGAAGACAGTTTAAAGCGGATTTTTCCAACCAAAAAAAACGTAGTAATATGTGGAGATTTCAATGTAAACCTGTTGGAAAACTGTTCTACTTCTGCAAGACTCATTAATTTATTTCAAAGTTTTAACTTGATTAATCTTTTTTTAGAACCAACTCGCATTACTGCCTCCTCTTCTACTTGTATTGATAACATCTTTTGTAACACAGACGCAGTGTCTAAATCAATAATAAATTGCTTAAGATCCGACCATAGTGGCCAATTGGCTTCTTTTAATTGTAAAATGAGCAAGAAGGTAGACCAATTTCTCTGCAGACCGATTACCACAGAACGAATAATTAGATTTCAAAATAATATCGGCAACAGTTTAAATTCCCTATCCAATATACCGGAGGATCCAAATACTTTATATAAAACGATATTTGGTTTAATTAAAAATGAATTTGACAATATATTTAAATCGGAAACATTAACTTTCCATAGAGAGACTAAATTCAACGACTGGGCAACAGTAGGTATTCATAAGAGTAGGTCTCGTTTGTATGAGCTATATGCTATGAAAACTTATAATACTAATTCCAATTTCATAGAATATGTTAGAATTTATTCGAAAATATTTAAAAAAGTTTGTGTAGCTGCTAAGGTTAAGTTTCACAGCGACAAAATTAGACAATCGATAAATAAATCTAAAACTACTTGGAGCATAATAAATAAAGAGTCAGGCAGGGTTAAACTACACGATAGAGATATAGTTTTAGAATTAGACAGCAAACTTATAAAATCTAAAGATAAAGTAGCCCAAGCTTTTGAATCGTTCTTTTCGGAAATTGCTGTGAACACTACAAAATCATTAAATTCCTCCCCTTCACTTGCTATTGATCTCCTAAAGGAAAATGTTAACGTTTGTGGCAGTTTATTTAATTTTCGTCATGTTAATCCACAAGACATCATAAAAGCTTTTAAGTCAATACACGTGTTAACGCCTCGCATATGTGTGCGTATCGCGCATCGCGCGTACGC